ATTTTTTTTTGTTTACAACTTTTAATTGTTCATTATTTTTGTCTGCTGTAAACAAGATCATTTTTGACTCTCTTTGCAAATATTTGCTTATTTTATGTAGACCAAGAGCCTTGAGAGGCTTGACCAGCGTTTAATTAAAAAATTAAAAAAAGAAAGATAAAAGTAAAATAGTTGATTTTTGTTTGAGGTTAGTTCTTAACAATTCGTTTATTTTTCTTCATGCTTGTTTTTGTTGTTGCTTACAACTTCCAATTTAATTGTCCATTATTTTTGTCAGCGTAAACACAGTCATTTGAGCTAATATTTGTATATTTTTTGTAAGCCAAGAGGCTTGGCCAGCGTTTAATTTTGATCGCTACGCGTTATGCACACGCGCCACGGCATTCAGCCATTTTGAATGCCAAACTTTTGTTTAACAAGAATGTTTATTGCGTTTTGTTTTTTGCGCTGCATTGTCTGTAACAGTGCGTATGAGTAACAACTGTAAGTACAGTATATGTCCCTTGAATTATGTACACTAGAAAGGTGTATTGCAATTTTGAGTCTCCTTCGAGTTTTTCACTGATAGTTTGAGCAGTATTTTCTGCTCAGAAACGCAGCACCGTGAAATTTGTTTATTATTATTGGTTTTTTTTTTCGATTGTAAAAATAACAGAGCCAGAAATTATTGTTTAAGAGGTTACATCGGACTAGTATATTTAAAAAATATTTTTTTTTGCTTATATTACGCTAAAAGCGAGAAATAAGTTTGCTTTTGAACTATACATTTTCAAAGGCAAAGCCTTCTTTAGGGCTCTGAACTGGCAGACCCAAATAAAATACACATTTTTCTCTTTAATTTCACTTTTCTCTCTTCTTGAGTACTCTTAATTGGCCTAAATCCTTAAAAAACGCATGTATATTTCTCTTTATTTCCATTATTATCTCTTCTTAGGGGCTCTAGCCTGGCTATCCCACTTAAAATACATGCATTTTCCAATTTTCTGTCTTCTTTAGGGCTCTAGAGGCTAGCCTAGCCTAACTCCTTGCACCAAATCACCTTTTCTCTGCCCTGTTTTCTCTCACTCTCTCTTTACTTTTTTTCTCTATCTCTCTCACCCTTTCCTTTTCTTTCTCTTTCTCTTTCTCTCTATTTGCCTTCCGTTCGTGTGTACTTTTACTTTGTTGTCAAATTGCAAAAAAACTACAGTTATGACTATTGTTGCCACACTGCTTCAATTGATGACAAACGAAAGTCTTAATTGAATTTGAGAAACGAGAGAAAAGTCAGCTATAATCACTAGTACAAAAATAAACAGAGTCTTAAAGTCGTAAAGGTCTAAAAATTCCTACATATAGGCGTCATTTAGCAGATTTTACACACGCAGAGTTGCATGACATAATGTAAATAACTGTACATACATCGCCGTTGGATTCAACTACTTACAAACACAAACAGAACTCACTGCCGAATCAAATGAGATAATCTTCTGAAGGAAAAAACCAAAAGAGATGAATCTGTAGCATCTGTAAACTGAGCGCCCAAGCGACAGGCACCCGACTGTGCGAATGCCTTGCCAGCAAATATTCAAACACGAGTTTACAAGCAATAATTTAAAAATTGTCTTTCTTGCTCCGTTACCGCTGCCGTTATTAAGTGACAATAACGATTAAGGAGAGTGGTGGTCATAAAAGCAACGGTTCATGATTACTGAATATACAAATACAAACGCACGTAGATTAAACTTTATATTATTATTTTATTCAAAAGATTACAATGTGTTTTTTGTTAGCTTTCAACAATTTAATGCTCATACAATGGAGACGGATAAAAGTTAGGCTGAAAGCAGTGAGCAAAACTAAAGCATAAACAGTTAAATCAGCTGTCAGATGTCGTATATACATTTATATTATTTATATAGGAAGTTCGGAGACAGTCTTATTTAACACGTATGCCTAGTTATTTATGAGAAATTGTGCGTGGTATTGGTGGAATGTCTTTGAAAGTTAGATAACTTGGCGTTGCAAGTACTGAAAGCAAGTGTTTGAAAGTTTTTTCATGAAGTATGCGCTCTCTCAGAACTTTTTCTCTTTATTATGTAATGCGAATGTATTTCTGATACATGCGATTTGGATTAAATCGGAAGAGATCTCGACT